GTAGCATCCCAGGCAAAACAATCCTGAGGTGGGGGATTTTCACCCTTGAACACACCAACCTCTCCCTTTCTTTTGAAGTGAGAAACCCAAAGCCATTTTTAATGTACATACGCTTTAGAATTCCATCCCCACCACTAGGGAAGGCAAAGACTTAATCATATAGTCTGGGTTGTACTGGGGATTCCTAATTAGGCAATGCAATTAGTGCTCACCTGTTTGTTTTTTTTTTTTCTACTGTGTCATCTCTTCTCAGGAGACCCCAGTCTTGTGATCCCCATTTTTAATTTCCTTGATAAATGTAATATACAAGGACCTTTTCCAGGTTTTCATTTTTTAATGAGAGATACCACATTCCCCAGAATTTCACAATGAGCTGAAGTTTGGGGGAAAGCATATGAAGCACACCTGTATATATGAAACCTCTCATATGGAGAACTCCTGTGTGCTAGTGTAAGACTAAGCATAGGCTGACTTTATCATAGCTTTCACATTTTGTACATCTGTCTTGTCCACCAATCTTACTTTTATTTATATTTCTCTACAATAAGGCTTTTCTTCAATAATTCTGTTATTGATCAAACCAAGCTTGTATCTCAACTGCATAAACTAAAAATGCAATCCAGCACTGGAATTTAAAAATAATGACAACGTTCTACTAGCTATGTTTTGAGCTTCATCCAATTTAACTACACCATGGCTCCTTACAGTTCTATTTCAGAGATGTTTACTTAATCTATTAATTCATGACTTTTTGTGGTTTCACAGTAAGATTCTGACTGATCATCAGTGCACTTCAGTATAATGTGGCTGCCATGTTCTGCAAGATGTGTCATGAATTACTACATGTAACTGTAAATACTAGAGATTATTATAAATAAGAAGGGAAAATAGAAAAATACATGAAAGAAACAAGTAGAAGCTTAATAAAATGTTAATGACAGTGGATATTTAAAATAATTAATTTACTTAATAATCAACTAAATTGATATAAATTATATTTTATCTGTTGCACTGTCTTCAGTTATAATTTCTGATTATAAAATTGATTATATTTTTGTTTCCCAATTACAACACCATATGAATAATATGAAATAGTGATCTGCACTAGAAAAACTTGATGGCTTCAACCTCTCATGTCCTCCTCAGGATGGCAGATGTTACCTGGCCAGGTTATCTTTCCCATGGAGGCACTCATTTAAGACCTCCTCCATTAGGTGATTCAGAGCATGACTTTAGCTGAGGTACAGTGTATTTGTCCTCAGATTTGCTTTTCTTTCGCATAAATCCCTTCTTCCATTGACTCTGGTTAGACAGATGGCAACCCAATGACTTTGAATTACAGTACTCCAGCTAGCACAAAGAATGATTGCTCCTAGTAAGTAAAACACTCCTTTGCCTTGGCTTTTTCATAGTGATCCTTATATCTAATTTTATTGCTTTGCTGGTTAAAACCATAACATAGGACCTTTCCCTTTGTAAAGGAATTATTAGCCAGCAGGGAAAATCAGTTGTGCATTGCTCAGTATCACTCAATTCCTCAAATAAAGCCCCAAATTCTGAGCTACAGAAATGTTTCCACTTATCTTTTAAATTAATATGTTTGAGCATGCGTGTAAATAGTTTTTGGGTTTGTTGGGTTTTTTTCTCCCTTGCAGACATATTTCATGGTAAGGCTCACTTAGCAGACACGTTTCTCTCTCTTACATATGTCTCATGCTTTCACTCTTACTGGAAGCACTGAGGAGTGCAAAAATTCAGGTCAAACCCTTGTAGGGAGGAAATTAATTCATAAATGTCACTATGTCTATGTAGAATACTGTGATTCAAGAAAATTTCATCTCTGGAAAGTCAACATCTAACATAATTTCATCCTTCATTGAGAAGTCTGCCACATGATGAAACTACAAGGAAGAATGACACACAAAGAAATTAACAGCATTATATTTAGTAACAGACAAGCTATAGAATGTGAAAATCTTTATATGACTGAAGGACTATTATATTCTGGAAGAGACAATTCCTTTTCTTACCTATTAGAAAAATTCTTTCTGTTGCTTATTCTAATTTATTCATGCAATAAAACCCCCTGCATGCTTCACAAGTCTGAAGTGTCAATAGGTTGCTCATAATACATGCCTTTTTCACGGCAATACCATTACAGATATGACTGTAAAGATTTTGTTTATGAGATGCCATCCTTGTTAGTCTCAGGTTTCTTATGATTTTGGGTGGGTTGTGAGGGGTTTTTTGGGGGGGTGGTTAGAGGGGCTGGGTTTAGGGAGGCGTTTGCTGATTTTGTTATTGTTGAGGCTTTTGTTTTGTTTTTTTGTTTTGTGTGGGTTTTTTTGTGGAGGGATTGGCTTGTTAACTTGGGCACAGATGGGGGACTTGAGCAGACAGTGATGGTTCAGAAGGAAGTCTTGGTACTCAGTCATGATACAGTTTGTGTAGTGTTTTGGCAGCTACTGCCACCCTATGGTTTTCCATAATGGATGAATGCTGCAGAGCTTTAATGTGTTGCATTTCTCCAAAAACCTCTTATAGGTGAGACAGAAGACAATGAATATTCCTTTTGTCTTACTCACTCCTTCTCTATGTCCCCTTTTCAGAAAAATCCCATCTGCAAAGAAAATCAAGTATGGCATGAGAGACCACAGGTAGCTTTAGGATGGTAGAACCTTTTCCAGTGCATTTACAACTATGTCATTGAATATTAACTTTGGTTCCGAGGGTTTTCACTAACTGATTATATCTTCTTTGGCAGGACAGATTTTGCTCTTTTTTTTTAGGAACTTCAAAATGTACATCTGGAGAAAGCTTCCAAAACCTATTTCTTAAAGTTGCTGCTGCTTTGGGAGCCACATATAGACAGATCTGGGTTAAAGCAATCTGGTCTAAGCAGAGTGTCCTCAGAGCATTGCTTCCAGCAGAGCTTTGCCCTCCAGACGCCAGCAAGTGCCCAGCCGAAGGCTCTGATGCGGAAAGAGGACGTTGCAGATACCATTATTCCACTCATTGCCCTCCTTCAGGCCAGGGAATACCCTCAGCGTGGAGGAAGACTTTTTTTTCTTTTGAGAAGCAGCAAGAGGGATCACCTCTCATGTTGTATATCTTCTCTTTAGGCATGGAAGCTTCTTTCCCTTTGACCAACCCAGCTGAAACCAGGCAGCAATGTAGGCTGTAGAAAATAACTCAGCTGGCTTGACAGCAGAGATATGGGACTCGGTCATATATTACAGTGCGTTGTTTCCTTCATATATTATTGGGGACCCTGAAGTCCCATCTCCTCTGCCACACCCTACCTGGCACCTATGCGAGTGCACGAAGTCTGAAGTGCACCCACTGCTCTTCATTTTGCTTAGACCACATGGCAACTGGATGCCACCTCCTTAAGCCAGCTCCCCAGACCCCCGCTCCGGCCGGCTCAGGAGCTGGTTCTGGTGCTCCCCCGAGTCGGGGCAGTCGCCTCCGCCGCGGTCCCCGGCACCCCGCGCATTCCCTGCCCCGCCGGCCGGGGCTGTGCGGCCGCTCCGTCATCCTCTCCTGGGGGCTCAGCAGCTCCTCTCCGCAGCCACCTGTAGCTACGGCTGATTTTTCTGCATTTCTCCGAAAAATAGCTATTCTCAGCCCCGCTCCCTTCCTGTGTGTTTTACTGAAGTGAACCAAATGTCCGTGTATCAGAAGCGGAGGCGGTGTCATTTTCGGAAAGATGCAGTGTTTGTTTTCTCTGTCGCCTCCCTGCGCCCCCCATGCCGGTAGCGCGGGCCCGGAGGGGTGTGTAGGGCTGGCTGGCTGGGCTTCCCCTGCCCCCGCCCCGGGGCGGAGCTGCGGCCCCAAATGAAGTACGATTTCACCTTTGGGCTCGTCTTCCCGGAGCGCCACTGGAATTACGGCCGGCGCGGTGCCTGGTGTGGCGCGGCTCATGGCTCGGCGCTCCGCCGGTGGTCCCCGCTCCCAGCCCCGACGTGGAACGGCTGCATCCCCCCTGTAGAATGAGGGGAGCGGGATCTCCGTGCGGGCGGCGGGAGCCGCTGTTACGCCTGTCGGAGTTGAGCATGGAGGGAGGTGAAGCAGCCACCTGAACGCGGAGAAACACCCGAGCCGACAACAAGTAGTCTCGCCTGGCAGGGCGGCACGGAGAGCGGCTGGGGCCGGGGCCGGAGCCGGAGCCGCCCGGAACAGAAGCCGCTGTCGCTCCTCCGGCAAAGGTAGCGGCGGGACGGCGGGAGGGACCCGGGGAGGCGTTGATCCCACCTGCCCTTCCCCGGGATGCGCGCTCGCCTTCGTGATTTGTCTCAGAAAGTAGCGAGCCGAGCTCCACATAGACAGCTTTTCCCAGAGTACGCCTGCTGCCTGCGCTTATGGGGTGCTCGGTATTTCTTCCCAAAAAGCAGCCCTTTCCTTCCTCCCACAGTGGGGGTGGGGAGGAAGAAAAAAAATATCTAAGCCTTCTTTTTTCCCCCTCGTTAAGCTGTTAGGATAATAAAAGATAGATGCCCATTAAATAATTAACCGTACACTTTCTGTTCCATCAGCTCGGTTCACACAGCCCCGCGAGGGAGAAGGGGGTGGGGACGGTGGCGGATCCATACGCGGTCGAAGCAGCAGCAGTGCCATTTCGGTAGCCTGCTTCCAGGGGAAGCGGGAGACAGCCCGGAGCTGTGCCCGGAGCGGGCAGGCGGCGCAGCCCTGCGAGGAGGAGCGTGCGGAGCTGGCCGGCGGTGGGTGGCGGGCCGGGCCGGGAGGGCTCTCCGCGGAGTGCGGGTCCGCGGGAGATCTCGGGAGGGCTCGGGGACGGGCCGTGTCCGCGGGGAACGGTCCTCCTGCGGTGGTGCCTGTGGGGCTTCTCCTCGATTTCTTCTGTTTGCGTTTAAGGCAGAAGCTCGTTCCCCACGGACCTGCCGGCGACCGGCTGCCCCCCGCCCAGAGACCGGCGCGCCCCCCTCCCAATCCTCGCCGCCGCCTCCCGCGGTCTCCCCAGTCATGTCCCACCCGGAGCGATGGGGAAGCTCGAGGACAACGAGAGGGTGATCCTCAACGTGGGGGGCACGCGGCACGAGACCTACCGCAGCACCCTGAAGACCCTGCCGGGGACCCGCCTGGCTCTGCTCGCCTGCGAGTCCCAGAGCGAGTCCCCGGGCGGCGAGGAGCCGCCGCCACCCCCCAACCCGCCGCCGCCTCCGGCGGGCGGCTGCCCCGAGCCCGGCAGCGGCTGCAGCCCCCGGGGCAGCGGCGGCGCCAGCGAGTTTTTCTTCGACCGGCACCCGGGGGTCTTCGCCTATGTGCTCAACTACTACCGCACCGGCAAGCTGCACTGCCCCGCCGACGTCTGCGGGCCGCTCTTCGAGGAGGAGCTGGCCTTTTGGGGCATCGACGAGACCGACGTGGAGCCCTGCTGCTGGATGACCTACCGCCAGCACCGCGACGCCGAGGAGGCCCTCGACATCTTCGAGGCACCCGACCTGCTGACGGGCGAGCCGCCCCCCGACGGCGACGACGACGACTTGGCCGCCAAGAGGCTGGGCATCGAGGACGTGGGGGCGGCCGCCGAGGGCAAGGGCGGGCGCTGGCGGCGGCTGCAGCCCCGCGTCTGGGCGCTCTTCGAGGACCCTTACTCCTCCCGTGCCGCCAGGGTAAGCGCCGCCGGCCGGCGCTCCCACCGGGGGCTGGGAGGCCGAGGGGCTGCTGGGGTGCCCTGAGCGGGAGCCGGCATCGCGGGGCAGCTCGCCCCGCTCGGGGGTGCGTGCAGAAGTGATGCTTTGGTGGGCCACTGCAAGGGGGGATGTCGGTCCGCATGGGGTGGCGATGCTTGTCCCCTCCGCGTCTGCAGGCAATGTCAGGCACCGCCGTCCCGCTGTGCCGGCATCCTTCCCATGGGAATGCACGGGGGTGAGGTAGTAGCTGTGCCCCGAGAAGCCTGAAGGGAGCCACAGTCACCCCCTGGCCTGCGTGGGGGTGTGGAGGGGGTGACTCACTATGGACCTGTTTGTGTGTGGGTGTGAGCAGGAACAGCCCCAAGGCACCCTCTTCCTCCCGGAGCACCTGCGTGAAGGTGCATTTGGGGCCGGGGAAGCTGGCCTGAGATCTCTGGTTTGGGGTCAGGTGGTGACAGTGACACAGGAGAGTGACCCCAGTCCTTTCTGAGCTTTGCTCTCTCTGCACTGGTAGGTGATCCTGGTTCAACAAAGTAAATGTGACAGGGGGTCACCCTGGCTCTTCCTCCATTGATTTCTCAGGGTGACCCTGACTGGCTCTGTGACTGAGGGCCTGGGGACAAGACAGTAAGTGATCTTACTGACTTTCTCTTACTCAGATAGGGATTTTAGATTTTTATGCTCACTACTCGATACTTTGATGTCTTGGATTTTAGTTCTGTCTTTTCATTGCAGTTGTCAGCGGTGATGCAGGTTCGTTCTCTAACTCAGGGCTTTGGAGCAAACAAATGGTTGTAATTCCTTTGAGAGAAATATGCAGTGGTGTCTCTAATTTAACCAGAAAAGCAACCAGCAAATCCTCCCTGCAATACAAGACAAAGGACTTGTAACAGGAAATGTTTGATGATGAAATGGCAATGAGTATATAGTGTATTTATCAGGATTTCCATGAAGTATTGAGAGCTAAACCTCATTCTGCAGAAAGTGTGGTTATGGTGGGTGTAATCTCCTAATCAGTTCCACTTACTCCACTGGCAGTCTCATAGATGTGCACGTAAGTGTATGGTTTAGTGACTTCTGAAGTGTAGCCCATGGCATAATGCAGTTTCTGCTGCTCACCCTGTGAGCTTATTGAGGTAAGTTAAGCAGAAAGTAAAAGTCCTCACAATTACTGCTGTCACTTGCTGAGTGCCAACGCTGTTTATGTTTTTGAAGGTTGCCTACCAGTATGTTTTCCCTTGAAAGCTGGCTACAGTTGATTCTTAAGATATGTTTTTAATAAAGAATGGGTTCTGAAGAAAAGCTACCAGAAGTGTCTATCATTGCTCATCAGTGACATACCCACATCTCGCATCTCAGTTGTCTGAATCCTAAGGAAAATTTGGCTGTCGCTTACCTGACAAACTCTAGTGCATGCAGTGATTACCCTGCAGGTTTTCTTTCACCTGCTGTCCTGTGGAAAGTTGCTGGCAGTGTCAAAACTGCGGCTTCTATGGCAGAGAATCTTCCTGCTCAACTTTGCTGGAGAAGTGAGAAGTACAGAGTAAATGTTAAATGGAAGATACCAGGAGAAATAGGAAGTAGACATGCTCTTGTGCCCCGGAGTTGCAGTTGGGTTTTCAGCCCAGTCTTTGACAGAACCTGTGGGTACTTGCTTTCTGATTTTCTATCTGTACTAGGTCATCCTGAACCATTAGTGGCCTGGGTGAAGATATTTCAGTTTTGCAAAATGAATACTCTAATTAACACTATAGTAGGAAATTGAAACATGGCAATATTAATCTCTTAGAAGATAGGGTATTTACCTTTTTATAACGTAATTATTTTAAAGATTTTATTCTGATTTCAAATCCAGGCAGCCAGAATAAGGCAATGTCAGAACCTTAATGGCAGCGTCTAAATCTGCATTTTCATTTTCTGAAGATCTGTACTTGATCTTTCAGGTAGGGAGACAATTTCGAGAATTTCTCTTGAGTTTTAAAGCGTTAAAGTGAATTTGTATTTAAGGAGTTGCATGCACTTAGTAAGCACTCTTGAACACAGTAATTTAAGGAGATGATAACCTTCGTTTGGAACTGAGACATTATGTTTTTCCACACCTGAAACAAGAGCCCTTATTTTCTGAGTATTCTGGCAAATACACTCTTGTTTTATGTCAGCTGAGATGATGACTAACTCTAAAAACATTCGAGTGAAATCCTGGGCTTACTGAAATCAAGACAAAACTCTCAACATCAATCTTTGCCTCAAAGTGTTAGTTACTGACTCATACACCACTTAGATTATGGTGGGGCTGCTTAGTGGTAAACTTTCCTAAGAACTGCAATAATTATTTTCTTTTAGCATTTATGATTTAGGTTCACTAGTGTCTTTTTTGGGAATTATGATGCTGATAAAAATGGGATATTTTCTGTTAATGAAATGGAACTTAATATTTGTGATTTTCTTTATTTGAAACTCTGATCTCTAAAAATAGAAATTTATAGAAATTCAAATATAAGTTGCCATGGTAACCTCTTCGGGGATAGTGCATGCACAAGATTATTCTAGCAAGACCATCCAGTGATGTTATATAAATAGTGGAACTAGTTTGTTGACAAGAGGGTTTACTTTAGTCGAGATTCTAAAAAAATTCAACTTTTAGGGCATGCAATTTAATAGTCAGCGACATCTACTAAACACGGGCCTTGTAAATATGAAATGTAATCCATGCATATATGATTGCTTTGAAATCTGCAACACTTTCCTTTGTTTTCCAAGTTCAGGAGTTAGGTCTGAATGTTATATCTGTCTTCATATTATTGTTCTGGATTTCACAGACTGTGAAATGAAATTAAAGAGTGCACCCGTACCGCTTTCACTGCACATGTAATAGAACGATCATTCACAAAAGGCTGTTTGACACAATGCTGTTACGTAGATGTGGAAATCTGCTGCCATAAGGGGCTGGCATAGGACGAGGAGTGCTGGGCAACTGAATCTTTGTGCCTTGGCTTAATTGTCTCTGAAACAGACACCTAATTCTTACCTGACTAAAACATGTGCACTGTTTTGTTGGTTAATATCTGTTAGTGATTTTGGTGTCCAGTGGCTCCTAAGCCGGGTACTTGTTTGGTTTAGTAAAGTGCAAAGATCCATCTAAATAGTTTGTAAGAATGTGCAAGAGGCAATATTAAGTGCTAAGTTCAAAAGTTCTGCAGATGTCCAGCAGGAACTGGAATGCCAGTGCTCATCTCAGATATCATATTTCAAAATAATTACCTCTAAAACCTTTTTACTTCTGAATAATAGTTGAAAAATTATGCTGTTTAAAGAAATAATTAGTATTTGTCATTGATTTTTTCCTAAGGATTATGGATTACTCCTGTGAGTGCAGGAATGCAAAAATGGCCCTGAAATTCACCGAGTCCATAGCTATATATCCTTAACGTTTTGAGAGGACTGTAAATCTGTGCATGGGTAAGGGGAGAGCACCTGCCACGTGGGGTAGTTAAGCAGCATGGCCCAGAGCACTGCCGTTTCTGCAGCTGAAGGCAACCTGAACACCCCTTTCCTATGGTTTTTATCTCTAGGAAAATCATAATTACTTGGTTTACAAGGAAATATAAATCCTAATTAGCAAGTATTTGTAAAGTTGGGTGTAAGTAAATATTCACTGCAATGCAAATAAACCCACAAAAGCCTTGTGGTCTAGGCATCAAGATACATCTTGCAAGTGTTAAAAATACTGATGCTGCTTCACAGTGACATGAGGAGCTGTATTTGAGCAGTGGATGGTATTTTTGGAGGGAAATAAAGTTCCTCTCTACTGCTTTATATGATGTTAATATGTTATCAGAAATTCCTTTCAGTGACCCATTGCACCTACACCAGCTTTGAACATTTAGGGAGGTGAAGAATCAGCTGAAATGAGTGGGATGGGAGAGGGGAAAAATATGATTTTACAGATTCCCTCGAGAGGCTAAAGATACAGAAATTATGTTGGAGAACATTCTTATCAAAGATAACTTATGTCTTTATTTGGTGGCTTGCTTATGTTTTCTCCAGGTACCTAGACAGCTGTTTTGATACTTGTCAAGAAAGCCTTGATTTAGGAAGCATGTCATGTACTATGGTGAATGACTGAAATGAGTTATATTTTTAGGGCTTTGCCTGTTCTGATTCAAGACAGGTTTTATTTTTGGTGGAAACAACACTACTGCAGTAGTCTGAAATACTGTGAATGGAGTGGTGAAGGTGCATTAATCTCAGAATGTATGTTTGCAGATTAATAGTGAATAGCAAAGGTTTGCTTTCTTAACTGATAGGAGCCCTTTAATACATAAATGGAAATCTTTGCTCTCTTTTATTCAATGAAGAAAGCAGGTATAGTTCAGATTTTACCATTCGATTATTAGTTCGGCAAACATCTGTCTGAAAATGGCACAAAGAAAATAGTTAAGGCTGATGCTTCAAAGAGGGCATTCCTTTTGTTGGTAATCAAAGCAGTGAATTTATTTACAAGTGGGAAAATAGTAAATTACATTAAATTGGTGAAAAACAGTTACTCTGTTTGAAGCATTTACATGATGGGAGCTGTCTTTCTTAAAGACACATCAAGATGTGTGCCTAATGACAAAAGTCAATGCATTACTGTTACAGATACTCGTACACTCTGTAGCTTCATTTATACATGGGCTGACTAAATCACATTGTAAGTAATTTTTATTAATTTACTTCTGACATGCTGGCTTTTAAAAGTCCTAGTTGGAAATTCTAGCTTAATACATGATGTGTAATCAACTAGCTCGATCTACCCTAAGTGTAGATGGTCTCTGATGGTACTGACATATCAGTGAGGTAAAATCAGCAAGATTTCTGCCTTCCTAACTTCTGCCTCTTCCTCTACAGCTGTTCTGCCTGATGCTGCTAGTGTTTCCATGGAAACAAGCCAGCTCTTCGCTTCCTCTTCCCATTGAAAACAGCCTTCTCACTGTCAC